GATTTCAGCGCTTTCAGTAGTGCGGGTCTATTACCGATATGAAGGGAACTTTTTTTTTTTCTCCAAGTGAGGCCTGATCGCAGGCCAATTCATTTTTTTTTTTTTTTTTTTTTTTTTTTAGTAACAGGAGTTTTCAATCTTGGAAGTTTTATGGATGTTTTTTTAATCTGTTTATTTTTCTTTTTTTTCTTGAAAGCTCTATTTTGTATTTAGGAGAAGTGGTATTTGCTACATGTACTGTACAAAGTGCGTTAGCAGAAGTATATAAATATATATATAATAAAATATATAAAATGAGAAGAAGTTTATCTATAAATATTATACATAAGATATTCTTTTGTTTTTGTACAAATTTCGTGGCAGGTTTTGTCCGTCTTTGTCTCTGTAGCTCCTTTTGTGAAAGGGGTCAGGGAACAACTGAAAAAAAAAAAAAAAAAAAAAATAAAAAAAAAAAAAAAAATAAAAAAAAAAAAAGAAGTGCTGCTTTAACTGGGTTTGGGTGTTTTGGGCAAAAGGTTGGCCAGGTGAAGTGATTTTTGCGCTGGTCCGTTGCTGATTTTTTTTGTAATCTCTGCATTCATCTCTAGCAATTTAAAGGTCCACTAAGCTTTGAAGAACTAGTTCTGTAAGATATAAGAGTTGCATTGGTCACTTGGACAAGAAGGGACAGCAATTAAAACACTGTCAGCAGTTCTATCACTTACTCACAGATGACAATAAAAATCTAATGGATTCTCTAATCCAGCCTTTCTAAACCATGATTCTCCAGAGGCTGGTTGAGGTTCTTTGGGTAATGATAGTACTTCTCAGATAAAATACAATGGGGACATTCTTCCCACTGACCACCAATGTAAGAGACATTCTTTCCACTGACCCCCAATGTAAGTCCCTTCCCACTGACCCCCAATGTAAGGGACATTCTTCCCACTGACCCCCAATGTAAGGAGCATTCTTCCCACTGACCCCCATTGTAAGGGACATTCTTCCCACTGATCACCAATGTAAGGGACATTCTTCCCACTGACCACCAATGTAAGGGACATTCTTCCCAGTGACCTCCAATGTAAGGGACATTCTTCCCAGTGACCACACCAATGTAAGGGACATTCTTCCCACTGACCCCCAATGTAAGGGACATTCTTCCCACTGACCACCAATGTAAGGGACATTTCCCACTGATCACCAATGTAAGGGACATTCTTCCCACTGACCCCCAATGTAAGGAATATTCTTCCCACTGACCCCCAATGTAAGAAGCATTCTTCCCACTGATCACCAATGTAAGGGGCATTCTTCCCACTGATCACCAATGTAAGGGGCATTCTTCCCACTGAGCATTCTTCCCCCCAATGTAAGGGGCATTCTTCCCACTGACCCCCAATGTAAGGGGCATTCTTCCCACTGATCACCAATGTAAGGGGCATTCTTTCCACTGACCTGACCCCCAATGTAAGGGACATTCTTCCCACTGACCCCCAATGTAAGGAGCATTCTTCCCACTGACCCCAATGTAAGGAGCATTCTTTCCACTGACCCCAATGTAAGGGGCATTCTTCCCACTGACTTCCAATGTAAGGAGCATTCTTCCCACTGATCACCAATGTAAGGGGCATTCGTCCCAATGATCATCAATTTAAGGGACATTCTTCCCACTGACCACCAATGTATGGAGTCCATCTTAGGAGTCCCCCTTATACCAGAGTCCCTCTTTACACTAGTGTCCCCATCAGAGCCCTCCCTTACATCAGTGTTCCCCCTTACATGGTCCCCATCAGAGTCTCCTTCACTTTAGGGTACCCATCAGTGGAGACCAACTGATCTATATCCTTGGAATGTACACACCAGCTGCGGGTCAGATAAAATCTTGTAGCAGGCTGCATGTGGCACATTGGCCGTACTTTGGAGACCCCCGCTCCACATCATGCAGCCCGATGTCAAATCTTCCATCAAAACAGAATAATTGTGGTATTTTATGTACCTTTCTCGCAGTGCTCGGCAGAATAGTTATGTTCTGTTGTGATATCTCTTAAAGCCTTCATATTTATTTGCATCAGCCAAGCTTCAGTTAGGGTTTAGTGGTCCTTTAAACTATTTGTAGCCTGAATTTAAAGTGATTCTCGATGTTCCCAATGATGAATTTCCAAAATGGCGTCTAAGTCTGTGTCTTGTAGCTAATCTAGCATAGTCAGGTCACATGACCTTTTTTCCCCTTTTAAAACCGAGCACCACCCTGTGTAACTGGTCACATGGCTCCAAAGTCCAGTGAGTCCAAATAGAACACTGACGCATTTTCTGAACTTCCTGTTGGATACAGATTAGAATTTTAGACAACGTAATTGGTTCCTATGGTGAACTCCCTTTCTATGCAATGCTTCCTTCAGATCTATACAGAATGTATTTTTATCTATTAGTAGTTGGTACTTCCAGAGAATATATTAAACTGAGAACATAACTTTATATGTCTGGCATTACCCTGAGCTCCCCTCCCATTGTCAGCGGGGGGTGAATTCTGTGCTATCATCCCAGTATACCCTCCCATCATGTGAGTTCAGCGGGGGTGATCCGTGTGCTGTCATCCCTGTTTACCCTCCCCTCCCATTGTGTTAGTTCCACAGGGGGGATCCGTGTGCTATCATCCCAGTTAAACCCTCCCATCCCAGTTTGTTAGTTCCGTAGGGGTGACCCCTGTGCTATCATCCCAGTATACCTTCCCCTCCCATTGTGTTTGTTCCGGAGGAGTGACCCCTGTGCTTTCATCCCAGTATATCCTCCCCTCCCATTGTGTTATTTCCGGAGGGGTGACCCCTGTGATATTATCCCAATAAACCCTCCCCTACCAGTTTGTTAGTTCCGCAGGGGTGACCCCTGTGCTATCATCCCAGTATACCCTCCCCTCCCATTGTGTTAGTTCCGGAGGGATGACCCCTGTGCTATCATCCCAGTATACCCTCCCATTGTGTTAGTTCCGCAGGGGTGACCCCTGTGCTATCATCCACGTATACCCTCCCATTGTGTTAGTTCCGCAGGGGTGACCCCCGTGCTGTCATCCCAGTTTACCCTCCCCTCCCATTGTGTTAGTTCCGCAGGAGTGACCCCTGTGCTATCATCCCAGTATGCCCTCCCCTCCCATTGTGTTCGTTCCGCAGGAGTGACCCCTGTGCTGTCCTCCCCCTATACCCTCCCCTCCCATCATGTGAGTTCAGCGAGGGTGACCCCTGTGCTATCATCCCTGTATACCCTCCCATTGTGTTAGTTCCGCAGGAGTGACCCCTGTGCTGTCCTCCCCCTATACCCTCCCCTCCCATCATGTGAGTTCAGCGAGGGTGACCCCTGTGCTATCATCCCAGTATACCCTTCCATTGTGTTAGTTCCGCAGGAGTGACCCCTGTGCTGTCCTCCCCCCTATACCCTCCCCTCCCATCATGTGAGTTCAGCGAGGGTGACCCCTGTGCTATCATCCCAGTATACCCTCCCATTGTGTTAGTTCCGCAGGAGTGACCCCTGTGCTGTCCTCCCCCTATACCCTCCCCTCCCATCATGTGAGTTCAGCGAGGGTGACCCCTGTGCTATCATCCCAGTATAATCTCCCCTCCCTTGAGCGGGGGTGGTACAATTTACATTTTAGGCCTCAAAGACTCTTGAGCAGTACAAGGAGCCCTATCTGTGCTGGATTATATTCTATTTTTCACTTTAGTTCTGTTATTGCCTCTTCTGGACTAGCCCAATCTTCTGTAAATGTTTAGGTTGGGAAATTCATCAAGCAAGAGACTGACAAAATAGGAGCATTTCTAGAGCAGATGTTTCTCATTTATAAAAGGATTTGGATCTGTAAGCTAACATCAAATGACAATTCTGGGTCAGTTCTGGAAAGATCGCAGATACATTTCCACTACAAACAAATGCAAAGTGCTCAGAGGGGTGTGTTATACTGGTGCAGTACCACTGCTGAGCAGCGGGGGGAGATCATGGCTCAACCTGCAATCTCATCATATATCAGCCCCCCTGCTCCTGGTTTGCTCTGCTTCAAGATAAATCTCCCCCAGTGATTCTGAGAGCAGGTTTTTTTTTTTTTTTTCAGATATCAGTTGCGTGTTGCCATTTTCAACAGAAGTGGTTTGAATTCATTTGTTTCTGGGTGGGCTTGCATACCCCCCAACCAAGACTCCTTTATCTTTGTATCTGCTGTAAGATTTGCTCTGTGGCTCTTTCTTTTTTTTCCCCATCTCAGCGGCCATGTTCACTTGCAGGAAGATGTTTTATTAGAATGATGCTATTTTTGGTTACTCCTTGTTATAATGTATTTTTAATAATGATGAAGTTTGAAGAGTGTAGTTGACCATGGTCAAACTATGCTTCTATTGGATAACCCCAGATAGGGGTGCATGCAGGGAGGATGGAACAAAGGTTCAAGAGGCTAGTAGACTGTCATACACACCAGGTATGTTCCTTTCTTCCCCTGGTTCACAATCTCAATGGGTGCCAATGTAATCTGTTCTGAATTTGTCAGCAAGGACCCTTTACTGTGCGGGAGAGATTCCTGATGAGGCTTTGTCATTAAATCGCTCACCTTATAATCAGACTATTATGTAGCATTGCTTTTAAATCCACTTCCAGTACTGATCCAGACACTGACGGGCATATTCCACAAGGCAGAGTATTAACTCTCAGCAGCCAATCAGAATTCATCTTTCCTTATCTGACATAACTAAAGTTAATGCTGCTTGCTATGAGCTACTACACATAGCCCATCAGATCTTCATGTCTTATTGGGTGGGCCATGTTAAAATATTGTCATTCTTTAAATGGAAAGGATATTGTATTATCATTGTTCTGGAAGCATTTATGCTGCAGTCAACAATAATAAATGGATATGTGGAGTGTATACAGTTTCCACCAGTCATCCTCTACTGTATAGCAGGTGCTATTGCTGTGTTAAACAGGACCTCAGAGGAGCCTGTGTAATAACAAGAGCAGGGCGTATTTCACTTTAAATGTGATTGCTAATGGCCATAAGGGGGCACAGGGTACATGTCATACAAGTGATGTCCATTAGGGGGCACAGGGTACATGTCATACAAGCGATGGCCATAAGGGGGCACAGGGTACATGTCATACAAGCGATGGCCATAAGGGGGCACAGGGTACATGTCATACAAGCGATGGCCATAAGGGGGCACAGGGTACATGTCATACAAGCGATGGCCATTAGGGGGCAGGGTACGTCATACAAGCGATGGCCATTAGGGGGCACAGGGTACATGTCATACAGGCGATGGTCATTAGGGGGCACAGGGTACATGTCATACAAGTCATGGCTGTTAGGGGGCACAGGCTACAGGTGATGACCATAAGGGGGTACTGGGTATAGGTCATACAGGTGATGGCCATTAGGGGGGCTACAGGCTATATGTATATACAAGTGATGGCCATTAGGAGGCACAGGCTACATGTGTCATATAAGTCATGGCTGTTAGGGGGGCACAGAGTACAGGTGATGGCTGTTAGGGGGCACAGGCTACAGGTTATGGCCATAAGGGGGCACTGGTTACAGGTCATACAGGTGATGGCCATTAGGGGGCACAGGCAACAGGTCATACAAGTGATGGCCATTAGGGGGCAAAGGTTATACAAGCAATGGCCATTAGAGGGCACAGGTCATACAGGCGATGGCCATTAGGGGGCACCAGCCCAAAAAAAAAAAAGTACCGTGAATAAGTAATTCCATCAGTGACCACCTGGGGGTGACTGTTAGCAATTCGCTCCTTGAGTTGGCCTCTTGATCCTCGTCCCATCCTCCTTCCATGAAGGGCAGTGCAGTGCGCAGCTCTCTGGAGTAACGTGCAGCAGCAAACCTTTTCTACCAGCTACGCAGATTTGGTCTGTCGCGGGGCAGAGGTATTTTTATTGTTTTTAGCAATCTTGTAATAACGTGTTAAATATTAAACAAAAGGATATTTTGCTTCTATTGAGACATTTGTATACTCTTTGCAAATATATTTCTGTAAACAGCTCAAATCGACAAATAAAATGTTGAAACTTTTCAGTGGTGTGTGGAGTCTGTTGAATGCCTTGCTAGTATTTGTTTTGCTTTTCTCTGCAGAGAGCTGTAGCTTTTCTTTTAGTTAATGCACTACCACAATGTGTCCACTAGAGGGAGACAAAACACCCGTGTTCTGCATGTTCGAAAAGGCTATCTGCCTGATTTAACCACTTCCCTACCGGGCTGATTCTGACACGTCTCACATACATGTAAATTTGCTGTCCTTTCAAAATAACTCAACACACAGCCATTAATGTCTAAACCGCTGGCAACAAAAGTGACTCCACCCCGAAGTGACAAGGTCCAAATTGGGCCCAAAGTGTCAATATTTTGTGTGGCCGCCATTATTTTCCAGCACTGCCTTAATCCTCTTGGGCATGGAGTTCACCAGAGCTTCACAGGTTGCCACTGGAGTCCTCTTCCACTCCTCCATGATGACATCACGGAGCTGGTGGACGTTAGAGACCTTGCGCTCCTCCACCTTCTGTTTGAGGATGTCCCACAGATGCTCAATAGGGTTTAGGTCTGGAGACATGCTTGGCCAGTCCATCACCTTTACCCTCAGCTTCTTTAGCAAGGCAGTGGTGGTCTTGGAGGTGTGTTTGGGGTCGTTATGTTGGAATACTGCCCTGCGGCCCAGTCTCCGGAGGGAGGAGATCATGCTCTGCTTCAGTATGTCACAGTACATGTTGGCATTCATGGTTTCCTCAATGAACTGTAGCTCCCCAGTGCCAGCAGCACTCATGCAGCCCCAAACCATGACACTCCCACCACCATGGGGCCCCAGACCGTGATACCCCCACCACCATGCTTGACTGTAGGCAAGACACACTTGTCTTTATACTCCTCACCTGGTTGCCACCACACACGCCTGACACCATCTGAACCAAATCAGTTGATCTTGGTGTCATCAGACCACAGGACATGGTTCCAGTAATCCATATCCTTAGTCTGCTTGTCTTCAGCAAACTGTTTGCTGGCTTTCTTGGTCATCTTTAGAAGAGGCTTCCTTCTGGAACGACAGCCATGCAGACCAATGTGATGCAGTGTGCAGCGTATGGTCTGAGCACTGACAGGCTGACCCCCCCACCCCTTCACCCTCTGCAGCAATGCTGGCAGCACTCATATGTCTATTTCCCAAAGACAACCTCTGGATATGACGCTGAGCACGTGCACTCAACTTCTTTGGTCGACCATGGCGAGGTCAAGCATCTCCCCCACCCCCAAAGAAAAGCCAAAGCTACCTATTTGGGGAGGAGAAGCTCTGATGCCCAAGCTGTGTGAAGTGCAGGGATAGGAGAAGGATCTGTGCCCCTGTCCTCCACCTTGCCACTAGAGGCCCCTGTCCTCCGCCCTGACCCCTATCCACCGGCAGCGACCCCCTGTCCTCCGCCCTGCCGGCAGCGACCCCCTGTCCTCCCCGCCCTGCCGGCAGCGACCCCCTGTCCTCCGCCCTGCCGGCAGCGACCCCCTGTCCTCCGCCCTGCCGGCAGCGACCCCCTGTCCTCCGCCCTGCCGGCAGCGACCCCCTGTCCTCCGCCCTGCCGGCAGCGACCCCCTGTCCTCCGCCCTGTCGGCAGCGACCCCCTGTCCTCCGCCCTGTCGGCAATGACACAGAATCAGCAGCATGCATGTCATGACTGTTGGATTTCTATTACTCTTCTACACCTGCTAGGAAATTATTTGCCATGTAGAAATATCATTTCCACCAAAAACAGTGATTGATCCGGTTAGTGATGTCTGACTGCTATTATTTTGAACACAACTGTATTTCTCTGTTATACGCCCACTTGAAAAGCTAGCGCTTGGTTTTTGTAAGTTTTCTAAAAAAAAAATGAAAATAAAAACCGATTGGAGAAGAAAGCACTGGCCTCGTTTATTTCCCAGAGAACAGTAACAAGGATCAATAGGCAGAGATCTCAGAGCCTTGTGCTGCCCGCCTTGACCTGACTGTCAGGCGGCAGGGGCCTCCCCATGTGCTGGCCCACGCTGAGCCCATACTGGTCCTTATGTTTCGCCATCACCTCCTTCTTCAGTACAAACCCCCCAGGGAAGGTCATGTCAAATTCCTCATTGGGCACGAAGCTGATGGGTTTCTCCTCCCAGATCTTGGCCAGACGAGCCTGCCAGGCCTCCAGAATGAGAGCGCGTTTCTCGGGAGGTGTGTGCCCGATGCTGTAGCTGATCTGAGGTTCAAGGACCTGGAAGCCGCAGAAATGCAGGATTCCTCTCTGCAGGAGACACAATGGGAGAGTTAGCATGTTCACCAGGAGACCATCCACATGGAATACGGCCAACAGCTAGGCACTGATTTTCAGCAACATTGTCCATAGCAGAAAATCAAATTCCACATAAATAAGATAAAAAAAATAGCAATAATATCATCCACTTACCTAATATATATCACATAGGACAACGCCTTCATCAGATTTTCGTACTGTATAGATGGCACCATCTTGGTATCATCCAGTCACCATTTATTGATTGCACTAAGATGCAGTTCTTCTATGTGTTCACAAAAGCCTGACACAAATCCTCCTCCTCCTCGGTTTTTTATCATTATTATTTAGCCCATGGTTACCCTAATTTTCATACTTTTCTGTTTGGCTCAGCCCTCAAAAAGTGTGGGATTACTCAAACGTATGCAAATTTGCACTCAGGAAAAGTATGAAGTCTAGCGGCTGTGAATAGTACTACACTCAGGAAAAGTCCGCTGTTGTCTAGGAAGGAGTAGATTACTACATTTAGAGAAAGTCTGACACCCAATGGCCAAGAAGGAATATTAACCTTAGTTAAAGTCTGACATCTAGTGGCTGTGAGTAGTACTACACTTAGGAAAAGTCTGACATCTAGTGGCTATAAGGAGTACTACATTCAGGAAAAGTGACATCTAGTGCAGTGGTGGGCAACCTTTTTTTTCAACTGAGCCAAATCTTGCCAAAACCACGATTTAAAAATGTGGCTCTCAAAATAAATTTCAAACTGAAAATACATAGTACACTGTTTTTAGTTTCAATAAGTTTTTTTATAGTAATTCATCCCCCATAGTAACTTAATTCATCCCCCCTATAGTAATTCATCCCCCATATAGTAATTCATCCCCCCTATAGTAATTCATCCCCCCTATAGTAATTCATCCCTCATATAGTAATTCATCCCCCATATAGTAATTCATCCCCCATATAGTAATTCATCCCTCATATGGTAATTCATCCCTCATATAGTAGTAGTAAGTAAGTAGCAAGTAGTAAGCCAAGTCCCCCCTGTGTCAATTCACTTACCTTTGCTCCGCGCGTTCCTCTCGCCGTGTTCCCGCGCCGTTCCGGTCTTCAGGGCGGACTGTGAGAGGAGCCTAGCTCCTCTCACGTTCATCACGCTGCCCCACCAACACACATCCTGACAGCCAATCACTGGCTATCAGGATGTGAGTGGCAGCGAGACTGGCCAATCATTGCATTTGAGCGCGCTGCCCTGGCTGTTTTTTTTTTGGATCACGCTGCAGAGTCCCTGCCGCCCGAGAGGAGGGAGGGGAGCGGGCGCCCGGCACACAAGAGCCGCATTAAAGCGTGTAAAGAGCCGCATGTGGCTCGCGAGCCGCGGCTTGCCGACCACTGATCTAGTGGCTGTGATGAAATACTTACACTCAAGAAACTTCTGACATCTAGTGGCTGTGATGAAGTACTACATGCAGGAAAAGTGTGACATCTAGTGGCTGCGATGACGTAATACACTCAGGAAAGTGTAACATCTAGTGGCTGCGATGAAGTGCTATACTCAGGAAAAGTCTGACATCTAGTAGCTGTGAGGAGTACTGCACTCAGGAAAAGTGACAGCTAGTGGCTGTGATGCAATACTTACACTCAAGAAAATTCTGACATCTAGTGGCTGTAATGAAGTACTACATGCAAGAAAGTGTGACATCTAGTGGCTGTGAGGAGTACTACACGCAGAAAAAGTCTGCCATCTATTGGCTGTGAGGAGTACTACACTCAGGAGAAGTCTGCCATCTATTGGCTGTGAGGAGTACAACACGCAGAAAAAGTCTGCCATCTATTGGCTGTGAGGAGTACTACACTCAGCAAAGTGTGACATCTAGTGGCTGTGAGGAGTACCACACTCAGGAGAAGTCTGCCATCTATTGGCTGTGAGGAGTACAACACGCAGAAAAAGTCTGCCATCTATTGGCTGTGAGGAGTACAACACGCAGGAAAACTCTGCCATCAGTTGGCTGTGAGGGAAGTCGAGAAGTCAGTGTGTCTCTCTGTGTGCGTGTGCCCCTCTCCCCCTCCCTCTCTTTTAGAGCTAGTAAAAACTAGGATACTTTATGAGAACATTTGTTCAACTTAGGGAGAGCAATGTATCTAATTTCCATATTTGGCTGAGATGAAGTACTAAAGTCTGCCATCTATTGGTTGTGAGGAATACTACACGCAGGAAAAGACTGCCATCTGTTGGCTGTGAGGAGTACTACACGAAGGAAAAGTCTGCCATCTGTTGGCTGTGATGAAGTACTACATTGGCTGTGAAAAGTTTGACATCTAGTGGCTGTGAGGAGTACTACACTCAGGAAAAGTCTGCCATCTGTTGGCTATGAGGAGTACTACACGCAGGAAAAGACTGCCATCTGTTGGCTGTGATGAAGTACTACACGCAGGAAAAGTGTGACATCTAGTGGCTTTTATTGCAGAAGCATCAAAAACAAATGTTACTTGTAATCGGGGTACATCTCGCCCTGTACTGCGACGCAGCGCACCACATTGCAATACAGTTCCAAGCATACATCTTCCCCCTCCCCCCTCCCTCTCATTTAGAGCTAGTAAAAACTAGGATGCTTTGTGAGAACATTTGTTCAACTTAGGGAGAGCACTGTATCTAATTTGCATATTTGGCTGAGATGAAGTACTAAAGTCTGCCATCTATTGGCTGTGAGGAGTACTACATGCAGGAAAAGACTGCCATCTGTTGGCTGTGAGGAGTACTACACTCAGTAGAAGTCTGCCATCTGTTGGCTGTGAGGAGTACTACACGCAAGAAAAGTCTGCCATCTGTTGGCTGTGAGGGGTACTACACTCAGGAGAAGTCTGCCATCTGTTGGCTGTGAGGAGTACTACATTTAGGAAAAGTCTGACATCTGTTGGCTGAGATGAAGTACTACACGCAGGAAAAGTGTGACATCTGTTGGCTGTGAGGAGTACTACACTCAGGAGAAGTCTGCCATCTAATGGCTGTGAGGAGTATTACACGCAGGAAAAGTCTGCCACCTGTTGGCTGTGATGAAGTACTACACGCAGGAAAAGTCTGACATCTAGTGGCTGTGACGAGTACTGCACAGGAAAAGTCTGACATCTATTGGCTGAGCTGAAGTACTACATGCAGGAAAAGTGTGACATCTAGTGGCTCGATGAAGTGCTACACTCAGTAAAGTGTGACATCTTTTTTTTTTTTTTTTTTTTTTTTTTTTTTTTAAGTCCGCAAACGTGGAACTGTAACGAAAAAACCCGTAAGTGTCCGCAAAAAAGTGCAAGTGCAGAAACACACACACACGAAAAACGTGCACTTAGGGGTGTGTTTGTCCTACCCCCGAAAGGGTGGACCGGACCCACCCGATCCCCCGGGGCACGAAGCTCCTGACAGGGACAAGGTTCCCATTTGGTCCTCCTGGCCAAAAGGCCTGGTGGACCACCGTTCCTTATGCCCAGCCGAAGCCGGACATCCAGTACTAGGCAAGGGGGTTCTCCCGAAGAGAAAACCCCCTAGGGATCAGGGGAGGAAGGAACCGTATGGCCACACATCCTCCCCCTAGACTTCAGGTAAGGCCCGAGGACCCACACCCTCCATCCGTGAAAAAAACACACACATAAGAAAGCAAAAAGTGACAAAACGTGGGAGTGATATAAATAAATAGAATAAAATAAAAAAGTGGTACCGTGCCTAATAGTGCACAGACCAGACCAGGCCCTGAGGCCTGTAGCAAAAATTGCCCTGGACTTAGCCAAAAGACCTGGTCCTTAGGGCGCTGTGCAAAAAAGAGTGTAAAAAACAGTGGCCATGTGTCATCTTCACACCGTGGGGTCCCACACCCAAGTGTTACTAGTGACACCCCTGAGCGCGTCTCCTCAGGGGGCACTGAGTTTTTTTTTGCCTCCTCAGCCCCAGGCCAGACCAAGGTAGCATGCTCAAACCAGGAGGAACTGGGTAAGTTTCCGGTCTCCCCAGAGGAATTACTCCCAAGGCCCCAAAAACGAATCATGGCGCTCCCTGGTTTCTGTCCCTCCGGTACTAGCCTTCCGGACCCCCATCATACCAGTGAGGGTACTGTACAACAACCATCCCCGTAAACTAGAATGGTCGGTAGCACCCCCACTGGACACTGATAAAACAGATACTACACTTGATCTTAGCCAAAAGGCCGAGAAGTAAAGTGTGACATCTAGTGGCTGTGAGAAACTACACGCAGGAAAAGTCTGACATCTAGTGGCTGTGAGGAGCACTACATTCAGGAAAATTCTGACATCTGGAACATTAGGGAGAGTGTATTAGCGCAGCCTCCATCCCAGCACAAGAATCAATATTCCTACCAGAAACCATAGATCCCCCACAAAAGACCCCCCCAGCCATTATTAGGTCCCCAGCAGCCAGAAACAATAGATCCCCCTCCTCACAACAGCAGACCCCCCAGCAGCCAACATCAATAGACCCTCCAGAAACCGTAGATACCCCACAACCAATAGACCCCTCCAGGCATTATTAAGTCCCCCAGCAGCCAGCAACAATAGATATCACCTCCTCACAACAGCAGATCCTCCAGCAGTCAGCTTCAATAGACCCTTATGAAAAACTATAGATCCCCCATAAATAACCCCCCCCCCCCCCCCCCCAGGCATGATTAGGTTCTCTAGCAGCCAGCAACAATAGATCCTCCTCCTCCTCACAACAGCATATCCCCCCAGCAGCCAGCATCAGTAGACCCTCCAGAAACTATAGATCCCCCATAAACAACAGACTCCCCCCCCAGGCATTATTAAGTCCCCCTGCAGCCAGCAACAATAGATCCCCCATCTCACAACAGCAGACCCTCCAAGCACCCATTACCAGTACATACATTCAGTGCTGGAGGTGCCGAACTGCATACTACTGCGTTCCTGCTGAAAAAATCCCTGAATATAACTATATTTTTTGATAGGCCAGGAATTTAATCATGCAAACATTTGAAAGGCCCCACCATTAAGGCTCCATTCACACTTGTGCGACTTCAAAATCGTGCAATTTGTATTGAGACTTTACAGTGCGACTTGATGTGACTTTGACACAACTATGTGTTTGATCAAAAATGATTGTTTGTGCTGTACAATGGCGCATATAAGTCACATGTATAGCATTCAGGCGTGACTTTGGAGGGTGTGCATTGAAGTTTATGGCCCTCAAGTTGCATGAAGGTCGGATGAAAGCAGTGCAGGAACTACATTCAAGTCACTGCGACATGAAGTCGCACAGATATGAACGGTACTCATTAGGAAACATGGGGTGTGACTTGGCATGCGACTTTGGGCCCCAAGCGTGAATGGGCTCTAAAGCCTAACACCATTTTTACTTTATATATACAGTGAGGAAAACAAAAATACACACAGGTATGTCATGGAAATTTTCTATTACAGCTTGTCCTTTAAATGTGTCATATATTAGTGTTATTCAAATGTCTCTCGTGTGGCTTAATTAAAGCTCTGAAGACTGCAATTGGGCCATGCGCATGTACAATGTATATATTACAGTACTCAGCTCGGTAATGGATGAGATGGCAGATCTGCGCTTATAGACTGGCGTGTATACCACCACGGCATTCGATGCGAATGCCGCCGGCGGTAAGCCGCGGGCCTGTATCCACATATCAGCAGCATAGTACCACATGGACTTCGTATGGCCAGGCGCCAGGCAGTGCAAACTCCGCGTGTAGGCTCATGTATATCTCTACAAGCTGCTACCGACCTGAACTGTATCTGGATGGATGTGTTTTAATAAAGATCGTATCGGGCCCATTCAGATACAGACTGGCACTGTTTAATCTAAGGGATGCTTGTACAGACAATGTACATACTGCTGGGAGCTGGTAGCATGTAACTCACTCTCCAAAGCGAGCTTACGGGGGGGGAGGACAGGAAAACTGGTTTAACTGGTTTTAAGTATAGGTTAAGAGGGAACTTTGCACTCCGAGCAGGATGGACATTCTCGTGTATGGACACTCCCTATACATTGCTCTGTGGGAGGGGATTGACTTGGCCCCGTGCGGGGGGTGTGTTTTGTAAGATAATAAAAACAGGAGTCTGGGGTTAGACCCGGGCAGAGTGGATTCCAACTTTAACCTGGGAGTATCGTCTGATTTATTCCTGGATTACTGGAGCTCCATTTCCCCACATCTCAAAAAAGAGCTAAACCTTTGCACACCTGTTGGAGGCGCAGGAATCGTGGAGCTAAGCTGCAGTCGCGGTAAGCGGAGGGCGCAATATGGTTGCAGCAAAGTTCGCACAGCTTTATGGGGGATTGCTGCACATCCAACTACGGGCACTCACGGTAAGTAAAATCCATTGAAAGCAAATTTCCAAGACAGGTATATGGCATAAACAGTTACCTGGACGGGCCAGAGTAAGACATTCATATCCCCATTGACCCCAGTTGCAGAGTACATGGACTCCAGCCCTCCGGTGGTGAACGAAAGGACGGCCTTTTTATTCTGAAAGAGAAATGTAGACTTATAGACTGCATATTAAATAAAGGGGAGGGGGAGGGGAGACTTTTATTAATTTAACATTTTTTTTTTGCAAAAGCAGATAATCTGAATGATTGAGATGACAAAGAGCTAGGAGTTCAATAAAGACGATACATCAACCAACAAAGGGGAGGAACTTCAGCAGTGCCTTTGGGCCATTAGCAAAGGTAACCTTCATGAACATGTCCTGCAATTAAAGTCCGGCCAGGGATGTCCCCCACAAACAGTCCCTCTCCCCCCAACCCAATTACCCAATCCTTAGCAAAAAAAAAAAAAGCTAAATGCTCCAATACCTAACCAAATCCATGATCACGTCTTGCACTGAGTTTGAGATCTTCTTACTTCTTCACTGCAGAATGTGGGAGGAGTCTTTCTTCAGGTGCTCACATCGCTGGCTGATAATGTGACGTGAACACTTTCCATTGTGCCCATCAACAGGATCCTCACATGGTCCTGAAGATTCCAGCAGCATGGATTAGGAAGGCATTTTTCATGTAAATAAATGAGCGAGATAGACGGGGGGGGGGGGGGGGGTTGCAATATTGTTTAGCCATGGACTTTAGGGTCCCCCTCTTTCACTGCTACCATGTGTCTCTCTCTCCACCTAATCCTGGTCAATCTAATTTTGGATGTTCCTCCAACTGATTACGCATCTTCCCGATTACTCATATGCCTATGACTGCACCAAGTTCTCCACTGTCCCCACTTTCCTCTCACAGCCACATCCCTATGCCTCTAATAAGTGCTAATGGATATTTAAGAGGAACTCTGCAAGAACTGCCTAACCTTTACCCATAGCATGGTTCTAAGAATCTTATAACCTGCCCTGAGTCCACTGAAGCATCTACAACCACTGAGCAAGGGCAAGGAACCTTAGCCACACCACTGAGAACATTCACTTGAGTAAGGACAGAACTGAGGAAGGAACTTGAAAAACTTTCTTAAAAGGTTACATATCAACCATGGAAGGAAGATCCATCTCCAGATAATCAGGTCCTACAAAGGCCTCCGGATGTACTTTATCCCCAAACTACAGCATGATCTAAGTATGTACTGTCTGCTGACAATCCAGGGGAGTACAGAGCCCTCCAACAAATGAAACCTTTGTACCATGCAGGAGATGCCCCCCAAGTGCGAAAACCTCTCCTTTTGGTCTGGAGACCACCAGAAGAGAAGAGCCAAATATCAATGCATTGTCTCTAAGAAAGACAGCACAGTCAAGAGTAGTACTTTTAGTGTTTTTCAGGTCACAGTGAGAAACTCCCAGACTTTCCTGGAAGTGAAAGAGAATACATTCTCTCAACACCTTTCAAGCCCTTAAAGGGGAACAAGGGGGGATTTTCCCTGACAAGTAAGGAAGGGTTCAATGACCCACAGGGTATAAACTTCTTCAACAAGGGCTAACACTCAACAGGTGACCGATATTTACCAACACTAGGCTGTGAGGCCCTGTGCGGACACCTTGCAGTTGTTAGGGTTCTGACTGCAATCTGTACCTCTACAAGGAAGGTCACCTGAGTGTTACTCAAAGCGGATGCCAGAAAAATATACTAAAAGTGGACATACGGCCCAGTGCTTCAAGAAATAACGTGTGCCTTCTGAGGACACTGAGGAGCCAGGCCCTTGTTAGGAAAAGGAGCAGTAGGAACCTTATAGCTTAGATGGTCCCTCTGGAGAGGGGGAATGCTGAGGGGTACCAGGTACCACAAAGGGATCAAAATATTCTGAGAATATAGATTTTTTTCCTGAAGAAGAAGGTTAAGTCTGGATGGGGTAAAATGCCTGTTCTTGAACAGAAAAAAGTTGTGGGGGGGTCCTAGGGTGTGGGAAACCCAGTAAAGATGCAGCAGCACAAGAAAAATAGTTAGGGGAAGCTGAAGGAGATGGCAGACACAAGGGGTTAGCTTGTGGGCTAAAAGGTGCTGATCTGAGCACTCAAATGCCTGGGAGACAAACTACTCAAGGACCCATCCGAATGAACAAACAGGTCCCCAGTTGTAGAAATGGGGGCCCACCTTCATGCAGTAAGCTTATCAGAGGGATTATCTGATCTTCGCCTTCAAACTCTACAGGCTGAGTGGGAGTTAAGCTCTGAAGTCCAACGTGTACCTACTGCTGAAGTAGATGGAGAAGGTTGGAATTCCGCTGAACCCCTCCGTAAAAGGATCATACACTGGCCAAGTTTGGCAATGCTAATGACAGTGTCAATGGAAAGGTTCAAACAGACAACAACCCTTGATGGTTATCAGAGTCAAGCATCCCAATCACGTAACCCTAAGCATTTGTACAAACATCAGCCCCATGTGTGACACAAGTTTAGATGCTTGCAACAAACCATCACAAATATTGCACAATGCTCCAGTCATTTGTTCCAGCCGTCCTATTAAAGGGCACCTACTCCAGTGGTGGAGGAATCCCCCTTCGTGGAATCTACCGTTTGACAGATTCAAGTTTCCACCTGCACAGGGCAAAAGACCAGACCTGTCAATTAAAACTGGGATTTAACCATTAGCCGCCCGGCCAATGGCCATTTGGCGGCTTCAAAAGTGCTTTAGAATTCCGGGAACACGCCATTTGGCGTGCTCCCGCACATGCACAGTTTGCGCTGATGCAGAGCCGCGCAGCGGCACGATCTGTCACCGGCCGTGTACCTTGGACACGGCCGATGACAGATCTGAGTAACGGCCCCCGTTGCTGGTACCATCTGACCTGCTGTGACCAATCACAGCAGGTCACATGACAGTTGTATACAATGGATGGCTTCATTCATGCCATCCATTGTATATTAGTGCCTAGGTGTGAATGGTCACAGCTAATCACATGCACATGTCATGTGATTAGCTGTGACCAAATCACAGCTAAGCACAAAAAAAAAAAAAAAAAAAAAAAAAAAATAACCCTGAATGAATCGATTTCATTCAGGTAAATGCTTGCTTATAGCAAAGTAATTCTTTGCTATAAGCAAATTGTGTAAAAAAAACAAAAAAAAAACAAAAAAAAATACTGATCACTTCCCCAAAGTAGTACAATGTTACTATAGTAACATTGCACTACTTTGATCATAGTAAAATATGAAAAAAAAATCTTTAAAAAAATAAAAAAAAAGTACTAAAAAATTAAAAATAATAAAAAAAAAAAAAAAAAATTATATATATATATTTTTTTCATACTGTCACCAGTCAGTGTCCCTGATCACCGCCATGCCAGTTATATGATGACGCTGTACTGCACTGGTGACAGTATGTAAAAAAAAAAATAGTGAAAATTATTTTTTTAATTTTTTCATTTTCCGAAAAATGACAAAAATACAACTTCAAAAAACTCGCCATGCCTCTTATGAAGTACGTCGGACTGTCTACTCTGCAAAAAGGGGTCATTTGGGGGATATCTGTACTGTTCTGACATTCTTGGACTTCAAGAAATTAGATTGTCCGTCAGTACTTCAGGACTGATCAATATTCAGATCTATACCATAGTTTGTGAACTCTATAACTTTCCTACAAACTAAATAATACATCCTAATTTGGGTTATTTTCACCAAAGACATGTAGCAGAATACATCTCGGCCTAAATTTATGAAGAACAATTATTTATTTGTAAACTTTTATAACAGAAACAAAGAAAAACGTGTTTTTTTTTTTCAAAATTTTTGGTCTTTTTTTGTTAATTTAGCAAAAAATAAAAACCCCAGCGGTGATTAAATACCACCAAAAGAAAGCTCTAGTTGTGTGAAGAAAATGGTAAAATTTTAGTTTGGGTACAATGTTGTATGACCGCGCAATTATCATTCAAAGTGTGAGAGCGCTGAAACGTGAAAAATGGCCTGGGCAGGAAGGGGGTAAAAGTGCCCGGTATTGAAATGGTTAAGGAGGGACTATGGTTGCCTGTCGGTGGTTTCCCAAATGTTCAGCACACTCTCAATCCACCTAATGGTCTTCCTGTTGAGGTTGTACACTGGGAGCAGACCGCTGATTTATAAATTCCCCTCTTAAAAAGGGAAAGGTTCTGACAAACTCTCAGTTAGGGACCAGGATTCTTCAGGTTCGCCTAGAGCATGGGTGTCAAACTGGCGGCCCTCCAGCTGTTGCGAAACTACAAGTCCCATGAGGCATTGCAAGATTGACAGTTACAAGCCAGACTCCCAAAGGCAAAGGCATGATGGGACTTGTAGTTTCGCAACAGCTGGAGAGCCGCCAGTTTGACACCCCCGGCCTAGAGGAATTAGTCAAATAGCGGATGTGGCAGAAAGATCGGTGCAGCTGTAGGAACTGTAAAAGTCCCTATGCCTGGAACAGCAAGCCTATCCTCCAGAGGCAGGTTAATATGCACTTCTTCAGTAAGGTTTGAAACAGCCCCTGTAAATCAGAGTCAAAGGTAGGTGAGTGCAGTCCCTCTCTCTTCAGAGACAGACTGTTCGCACTCGGAATTTGAGCCAGCAATGATGGTTAAGGGGCTCAAGAGGGTAAGAAAGACTGCAGGGGACTGGAGAGGGGCACGCTTGGAACCTCCGAGGGCAGAACACTGCAGTAGCTGAGCACAACTGATTAGTAAGTCCAGAGAGGATTTGATGGTCTAGTTCAGGGATGTCAAACTGGTGGCCCTCCAGCTGTTGCGAAACTACAAGTTCCATCATGCCTCTGCCTTTGGGAGTCATGCTTGTAATTGTCAATCTTGCAATGCCTCATGGGACTTGTAGTTTGGCAACAGCTGGAGGGCCGATAGTTTGACACCCCTGGTCTAGTTTAATCCAATGAATCGAAAAAAAAAACAAAAAAGTAGTTAAGAGTGCATTCTCTGTCAGGGTGATGAGGTCATTCTCATCAAGATGGTACTCCGCACACATACTGCCCGCACTTCCAGGAGTGTAGGAACGCAATGACGTCATCCGCAGCACCGCCCATCATTGTGCTTCTATGCATTCTTGATGGCTAAGAGGATTTTATATTGCGCAGTTTTCATTTAAATATTGTAAATGTGAGTTTAACTTTAATAAATGGTATGAGAAAGCATTTTACACCATGGAAGTGTTGTGAAGTCATGTTCTATTTACTTGTTCAACCCTAGTAGGAAGGTGTTCCGTAGGATGGAGGGATCCTTTAAGGGTGTCACACTTCAGCACTTAATATTTAATTTGACACATTCATGTTAGTAGGATGGGGGAAGGTGTTTTTTAGTATGGAGTGGCCCTTCTATGTTAGAAAGGATTCACATTGAGCACCAGAATCAATTCCCAGTGGGAAAGGTACACTAACATTATATTTTAGGAGCAGCACAACGCCCTTACTTCTATATTGGCTAGGTGTCTCTCCACTGGAGCCTAACTGGCACTTGTTGATGACTTGCCGGCATAGGAAAGTTCCATAAATTTCCGATGCTCTGGCTGTTTGCTGGGCCGCACTGGTCATGCTTGGCTAGGTACTCATCATGTGGACCTCCTTCATGCCGCAAGAACCTGACTGTGCAGACTACATTTACAGTGCATCCAGAAAGTATTCACATGCGCGGTGGGACCTTCTATAGACAGGTTTATGCCTTTCCTAGTCATGTCCAATCAACTGAACGTCCCACAGGTGGACTCCAATCAACTGAACGTCCCACAGGTGGACTCCAATCAACTGAACGTCCCACAGGTGGACTCCAATCAACTGAACGTCCCACAGGTGGACTCCAATCAACTGAACGTCCCACAGGTGGACTCCAATCAACTGAACGTCCCACAGGTGGACTCCAATCAACTGAACGTCCCACAGGTGGACTCCAATCAACTGAACGTCCCACAGGTGGACTCCAATCAACTGAACGTCCCACAGGTGGACTCCAATCAAGTTGTGGGAACATCTCATGGAAGATCAGTGGGAACAGGATGCACCAGAGCTCAATTTTGAGTGTCATGGAAAAGGCTGGGAATACTTACGTACGTTTTTTTTTTTTTTGTTTTTTATTTTTAATAAAATTGCAAAGATTTCAATATGAACTTCTTTCAGGTTGTCATTATGGGGTACGGTTTGTGAAATGTTGAGGAAAAAAATGAATTTAATCCATTCTGGAATAAGGCTGTAACATAACAAAAATGTGTCAAAAGTGAAGCGCTGGGAATACTTTCTGGATGCATTGTAGATCTCTGTTAATTTAACCCTCTCTCCCTTTTTTTTTTTTTTTTTTAATTTGTTTTTCATCTCCGTTTTCCATAACACTCACCCAAGGGATACAGGTCTTGATGTGCATTGTAAAAACTTTGGTCGATATGCTTTTGTGTCATTTTTACCACATCACTGAAGGTCACAATGGCCCTTGTATGTCCCAATGTTGCTTTTCCTGTATTTTTAAAATGTAAATTTAAAATTACAGAAAAAAAAAAAAAAAAAACGTTAAAAGGCCAGTGCACTTGCAGCCACACACCTTTCACTCCGGTCAGCAACCAAAGTGAAAGTGAAGTACCTCCAGGAACAGCAAGCATGCACAGCCAATTGCCCGGCCCATGGGGGAAAGGCCGCAGATCAAGACCACTAAGGCTGCACACCATGATGATGAATTCTGGTCTCAAGCTTCCAAACCTGGGTATACGTTACATAGTTAGTCTGGCTGAAAAAAGAAAAAAAGTCCATCCAGTTCAACCATAAAAAAAAAAAAAAAAAAAAAAAAAAAAAAAAGTTATAATCCTATACCCACAGTTGATCCAGAGGAAGGCAAAAAAAACCCAGCAAAGCACGATCCAATTTGCTCCTGCATGGGGAAAAAAATTCCTTCCTGATCCCCCGAGAGGCAATCGGATATTCCCTGGATCAGCTTTCCCAATAAATGTTATATCCAGTTATATTCTGTGTATCCAAGAAGGAATCCAGGACTTTTTTTTAAAGCAAGTAACGTTGACAAATATTAAATAAAGAAGGTAATCATTTCCCAGCTCACCTTGAATGGTCCATTATAGTACATTTCTGACTGGCTGTATGCAAATCCCCCAGTTAAAATGCGATCAAACCAGCCCTTCAGGATAGCTGGAAGTCCAAACCAATACATTGGGAACTGTTGAAACCAAGCCAACATAAAGAAAAGAAAAAAGGTCATCTACCTTGGTGCCTAATTTTGATCATAAAATACTTTCTGGCTTTATTGACAACCAAAAATCTTTATGTACCTGAAATATCACCAAATCGGCATCGGCCAGCTTCTTCTGTTCCTCTACAATGTCTTTACGCAGACGGCCTTCTTTGTAGGCGTGCGAGGACTCCGCTGGGTATTTGAAGTTCTCTGGATCACGTGGACTTCCTATATGGAAAATAACATTTTATGGTGTGTTGTGGTGTATTTCGGTTTTGTGCCTAGGCAACACAAAAATCGGACCGCCCCGCATGACATTGACCAACAACACCCCTGCCCCTCCACTTGGAGAGAAAGTCACTCATCGGATATCAATGGGAACGAGAGTCGGGCTCTGCATATACCCAGGGGTGTATATTTACCACAAGGCAAACAAGACATTTGTCTAAGGCAGCATTTTTCAAGGGGGGCAAAGAAGGACATGTGCAGCAAGGGGACCAGGTGGGATCTGAGAGAGGCTACGAGCTGCTTGATGGTGTATGCAGAGCCTGACTCTTGTTCCTGGGGATGTCCGGAGCTGTGAAGACGAGTGTCTTCTCTCTTGCCTGGGTGGCGGAGTTTACAATGTATGGGGGGGGCGGTGGTAGTGGAATGCTCTCTCGGGTGGGGGCTGGGGTGTTGTTGGTCAATGTCAGGCTCTCTTCGTGGGGAAGGGAGGTGTTGGTCGGTGTCAGAGTCTCTCCGTGGGGGGGGGGGGCAATTTTTGTGTTGCCTAGGGCAGCACGAAACCTAAATATACCATCAAGCAGTCCGCAGCCTCTCTCGGGTCCCACCTGGTCCCCATGCTGCAAGTGTCCCTTCTCCAGGGGGCAGTGCTGCCCCCCTGAAAAATGCCACCCTAGGCAACTGTCTTGTTTGCCTTGTGGTAAATACGCCCCTGGGTGCGTGGATGCGCTCTGTATCTGCTGTAGTCAGTTCTACATTACCATGATTAAGGTAAGAGGGGGCAGTGCTCAAAATAATCAAATTGAATGAACTGTCCCCTTAGTTTGTTTCCCTCTTCTGGCAGCTATGTGGCTAAATTCTGCCAGGAAATAGGTGCTGGGAATGTTGAGAGGAGTCAGAAGACTCTTTACAGTTCAGGAAACAAACTGACTCAGAGTCCATGTTACCTCCAATAGTGCTTCAAGCATTAGTCTTTACTAAAGGACAAAAGAGACGGCGCATGTATAAAGAGATGTCATGGGCTGCGTGGTGTCAAAATACAGCTCTGCCAGTTGGTATTTGGTTGGAAATGCACGTGGCCTCAATTCCCGTCTGGATCTGCTGATGTTTGGGAGGTTCATACATGTAATGTACCTGTGATGTCGTCCCGTGACACAAGAGGGTTGAACTTCATGGCATAGAGGTCAGACACCGTGACGGCCCAACCTTTCTTCTTCAGGGCTTCCACAGCTGCCTCCTTCATGGCGTAACTAAATGAGGTCCGTTCCTGGTGAGCCAGCACCACCAGAGCCTTTTTACCTAGGACCGAAAACATGGCAACATACTGCTGAGAAATCCAATTCATATGAGTTCAGGTCATACATATACACAGAGCCTTCAAAAAGTAGTCACACTCCTTGAAATGTTCCACATTTTGTCATGTTATAACCAAAAACGTAAAAGCATTTTATTGGGATTTTATGTGATAGACCAACACAAAGTGGCACATAATTGTGAAGTGGAAGGAAAATGATAAATGGTTTTCAAAATTTTTTTTACAAATAAATATCCAAAAAGTGTGGCGTGCATTTGTATTCAGCCCCCTTTATTCTGATATCCCTAACTAAAATCTAGTGGAACCAATTGCCTTCAGAAGTCACCTAATTAGTAAATAGAGTCCTCTGTGTGTCATGTGATCTCAGTATAAATCCAGCTGTTCTGTGAAGCCCTCAGAGGTTTGTTAGAGAACATTAGTGAACAAACAGCATCATGAAGGCCAAGGAACACACCAGACAGGTCAGGGATAAAGTTGTGGAGAAGTTTAAAGCAGGGTTAGGTTATAAAATAAATGTCCCAAGCTTTGACCATCTCACGGAGCACTGTTCAATCCATCATCTGAAAATGGAAAGAGTATAGCACAACTGCAAACCCACCAAGACATGGCCGTCCACCTAGACCAGCAATGGGCAAACTACGGCCCGGCGGACCTTTTAATCCGGCCCGCGGAGCGTGATACTGTCAGGATGTGTGTAGGCGGGGCAGCGTGACGAACGTGAGGGGAGGGGAGCTAGGCTCCTCTCACAGTCCGCCCTGAAGACCGGAACGGCGCGGAAACACGGCGAGAGGATCGCGCGGAGCAAAGGTAAGTGAATTGACACGGGGGACTTGGCTTACTACTTGGGGGGGGGGACTTGGGGACTTAATACGGGGGATGAATTAATATGGGGAATGAATTACTATAGGGGGGATGAATTACTATATGGGGGATGAATTACTATATGGGGGATGAATTACTATATGGGGGATGAATTACTATATGGGGGATGAATTACTATATGGGGGATGAATTACTATAGGGGGGATGAATTACTATAGGGGGGGATGAATTACTATAGGGGGGATGAATTACTATATGGGGGATGAATTACTATTCTTACTATGGGGGAATATTACTATACTTACTATGGATGACACATACACATCATTCATCTACTCTTGGTCCGGTCCCCGGGTCCAATATATGAACCCATTGCGGCCCTCAAGTCAAAAAGTTTGCCCATCCCTGACCTAGACTGACCGGCCGGGCAAGGAGAGCATTCATCAGAGAAGCAGCCAAGAGGCCCATGGGAACTCTGGAGGAGCTGCAGAGATCCACAGCTCAGGGGGGAGAATCTGTCCACAGGACAACTATTAGTCGTGCACTCCACAAATCTGGCCTTTATGGAAGAGTGGCAAGAAGAAAGCCATAAGAAGTCCTGTTTGCAGTTCGCAAGAAGCCATGTGGGGGACACAGCAAACATGTGGAAGAAGGGTCTCTGGTCAGATGGGACCAAAATTTACCTTTTTTGGCCTAAAAGCAAAACGCTATGTGTGGCCAAAAACTAACACTGCACATCACCCTGAACACACCATCCCCACTGTGAAACATTGGTGTCAGCATTATGTGGTGGGAATGCTTTTCTTTAGCAGGGACAGGGAAGCTGGTCAAAGTTGATGAGAAGATGGATGGAGCCAAATACAGGGCAATCTTCGAAGAAAACCTGTTAGTGTCTGCAAAAGACTTGAGACCGGGGAGGAGGTTCCCCTTCCAGCAGGACAACGACCCGAAACATCCAGCCAGAGCTACAATGGAATGGTTTAGATCAAAGCATCTTCATGTGTTAGAATGGCCCAGTCACAGTCCAGACCCAAATCCGATAGAGAATCTGTGGCCAGACCTGAAAATTGCTGTTCCCAGATGCTCTCTATCCAATCTGACAGAGCTTGAGCGATTCTGCAAAGAAGAAGAATGGGCAGAAATGTCCCTCTCTAGATGTGCAAAGCTGGGAGAGACATCCCCAAAAAGACTCGCAGCTGGATTTGCAGCAAAGGGGATCCTACAAAGTATTGACTCCGGGGGGCTGAATACAAATACCGCCACACTTTTCAGACCCCAAAAATGGACTGGACAAAATGATTGGCACCTTCTCAAAATTGTAAGAAATAATTGCATTCCAAGTCTTTGATGCTCCTGTAATTTGTAATTAATCTCCCCTGTATCCATGACCAGGTGCTGACAATATAGAAATCACACCAGCAGCCAGTTAAATTGATGAAAAATGGCCTCCACTTTCTGTTGTGTGTCTCTGTGTGCCACATGGAGCATGGAGAAGAGAAAGAGCAGCAAAGAATTGTCTGACGATTTGAGAACAAAAATTGTATAAAAGAATGGACAGTCTCATGGACAAGAAGGAATCCAGGATCCAGAGATCTTAATGTTCCTGTGCCCACAGTGTGCAACATTGTCAGGAAGTTTACAGCCCATGGCACTGTAGCAAATCGCCCTGGACGTGGACGAAAGAGAAAAACTGATCAAAGATTGCAATGAAGGATTGTTCGAATGGTGGCTAAAGAACCTCGATCAACTTCCACACAAATTTCAGCTGACCTTCAGCCACAGGGTACAACCGTGTCCGCTCACACTATATGTCACCATCTGGATGAAAAGGGACGCTATGGTAGGAGACCCAAGAGGACCCCACTGCTGACACAGAAATATGGGAGGAGACCCAGGAGGACCCCACTGCTGACACAGAAATATGGGAAGAGACCCAGGAGGACCCCACTGCTGACACACAGAAATATGGGAGGAGACCCAGGAGGACCCCACTGCTGACACAGAAATATGGGAGGAGACCCAGGAGGACCCCACTGCTGACATAGAAATATGGGAGTTGACCAAGGAGGACCCCACTGCTGACACAGAAATATGGGAGGAGACCCCGGAGGACCCCACTGCTGACATAGAAATATGGGAGGAGACCCAGGAGGACCCCACTGCTGACACAAACATATTGGAAGCCAGATTAGAGTTTGCCAAAACGTACGTGTTGAAGCCAAAATCCTTTTGGGAGAATGTGCTGTTTACAGGCGAAACAAAATGGCAGCTTTTTGATAAAGCCCATCATACTACTGTTTTCAGAAAAAGCAATGAGGCCTTTAAAGAAAAGAATCTGGTCCCTCCAGTCACACATGATGAGAGGGTCACTGATGTTTTGGGGCTGCTTTACTGCTTCAAGCACTGGGTGTCTTGACCGTGTGCATGGCATTATGAAATCTGAAGACTACCAAAGAATTCTGAGGTGAAATGTAGGGCCCGGTGTCAGAAAGTTGGGTCTCCAGTGTCAGAGGTCATGGGTCTTCTGGCAGGACAATGACCCAAAGCACACATCAAAAAGTCCCCAGAAATGGTTTCAGACAAAGCGCTGGAGAGGACTGAACTGGCCAGCAATGAGTCCAGATCTCAATCCCATAGAGCTCCTGTGGAGAGATCTCAGACCAGCAGTTGGGAGGAGGAACCCTTCCAATCTGAGAGACCTGGAGCAGTTGGCAAAAGAAGAGTGATCCAAAATTCCAGTAGAGAGGTGGAGGAAACTCATCAATGGTGACAGGAAGCCATTCATTTCAATTATTTTTTTCCTAGGGGTGTGCTACCAAATATTAAAATTGAGGGTGCCAATATTTTATCCAGTCCATTTTTATGGTTTTGCGTGGAATGGGTCAGATTTGGCTTTTTGTTTATCCACTTTTTTTGTGTCACCAATACAAACAAAAGAAATAAACATGAGAATGCTGAAACATTTGTCATTGCAGCAATTGTCTGGGTGAAGTGGTGCGATATCTGACAGAAATGCAGGGGGGGGGGGGGGGGGGGGGGGACAAGGTTTTTCACCATGACTGAATTTATTTGTTTTTTTATTATCAGAGGACATTGCAATGTCACGGTGAAAATAGCATTTGGTGCACACCTTTTGCAGGTGAAGAATCTCGGGCTCTCTAAAAGGTTTGGTGTCAACTAGGAGTTTCACTCATAAGAGGGTGAGGGGTCCCAGGATGCACGTCTCCAAGAGGAAACTACTGTTTTGAAAATCCTGGTTGGGATCCTGGAGCCTGGAGGCTTGGCAGAGTCTTGCGTGGGATGAAGCCTCCAACTTCAGGACCAAATTTTGGATGGCAACCAGAACACTGATTGTACCAGGAAACAGACAACAGTTCAGGGCTCCATCTGGAAGACAGGAGGCCCTCCCTTGGGATGTGGGCCAGGGCAGCCAGGACCTGCAAGGTGTACTGCGTGTTCCTGAGAGATGGTCTGGAGAAACAACAAGGGCCTGAAGCATGAGGCCAGAGCAGCGGCAATGCATGTGAAAGCCAGGAAACTGATGGGAGAAATGCTGAAAACTCCTACAAAAGGGTAACCCTTGTGTGTTTTTGTAACTTTAAGAAAAGTGGGCGAGAATGTTTTTTTATTACATTGAAAAGGTATTTAAAGCATGTTTTCACTGCAGTTTTATGGACTTCGATGAGTGGAATCGTTGAGGAAGTCATTATAGATGATACGAGCCAAAAATCCAGGAAGTCTCTCCCGCCAGTAAATGTATTTTTGGAGAAATTTTATTTTTATACAATAAGTGACATTCACACACATATTTATCCGTGTATTACCGACGGGGGAGAGACCTGTATGTAGACAATACAGATCTCGCTTCTGCACACTGCTTTGTATGGCTCTGCATACCAGCATGCTCACAGTGAAACACACACAGCTGACCCTTTGATCGCCCCAGATGTTAACCCCTTCCTGCCCAGTGCCATTAGTACAGTGTCAGTGCTTTTTATTAGCACTGATCACTGTATTGGTGTCACTAGGGATGTCATTGACACCAAGCCAATTCCCCCCCAGTGTCACAGGGTGGGTAAGCGAGCGCTAGAAGTCGCTACAGCCGCTGAAACACCAAAAGGTACCAAATAACCTCCAAAATAGCAATATAAAAAATGGGTGCA